TCCGATTTTGTAGTTTTACACCTTTTTGAGTTTGTACGGATCTTTACTATAAATTGTCATTCAAACATTTTAAATATCGATCGGCCAAAAAAAAGTTGTTGACCAAAAATCGATTAGTTTGTAAAGTCAGCCTGTTTTATTGATTTTTTGGAATATCTCGGCCAGAAAATGTCCGATTTTGGAATTGCATACCATTTTATAGTCGTAAGGATCAGTAGTAACGATTGGCATCAAAAAAATGAATATCTAAATTTTGACCAAAATTGACCAAATGGCAAGGGGTTACATTACATTTTTTGCCAAAATCCGTAAGCTGTAACTCTATAGAGTATCCCTGGCATCGTTTTATTCTTATTCGAATTGCGGGCAGACGCCCTGCAAAGCAAACACTGGAACCGAAAACAGCATAAACAACTTAGTTGCAGGTGATAAATTTTAAAAATAATCCGCTAAAGACAGGTTTTTAATTAACTACGAAAGGGACAGAAATTAATCTTTTGAAGAAGAGCATACTGAAACGGCCGGCAATACTATATAATAATGAAACAAGAATAATGATTAACAAATTCTTTAAATATTTAATGGTTTATAAACAAAAACAATTAACAGGTAGCATACCTTAGGATAACATAAAATGTATTTCATAGTATTTGATGATGAAATGAATGCACCCTCATGACGAGGTATCTTGCGTGTTCGCGAGAGAACGATTCTATCTGGCTGAATATTTATAGTTCCATAGTTCTCCACAATCGACTTGCGATTGGTCAAACATTTTTTAATAATCAATCTAGTTCTACTACACCCAGCTCACTTTTGTCCTAACGAAATGCATTTCAGAAATGCCGCGATCTGAATGCTAATCTATTGGTATTCGATAGTAATGTGGAAAGAGTTGTTGCAACAAAATATCTGCAAGATTTGGGTGTGCCATTTGTGAATAGTTGGTTTGATTCTATCTGGATCGGTGCTAGTGCCCAGGGTACCAATCGAAGGTTTGTTCTCTCCAAAAATGGGGCTCCTTTAAGCTATGCCAGGTGGTGCTTCAATCAACCGGACTTCAATCATCGGGAATGTGTGGCATATGCCGATTTCTTAGGTTACAATTTCGGATATCACGATTTTGAGTGTTTGGGTCTGTTTCCGTTTGTGTGTGAAAATAGCGCAATATGACAATATTGTTTGACCTCATGACGACAATTTTTGTAACTCAATACTATATAAATGTGACCTTCTGCAAAGCTTGGCCATACATATATATACAACAATACTATGAATAATATAAATTACAAGAATGTACTAATAAATACTAAGGCATTCCGTAACCTATAAACATGTATTTTGGCTCACTCAGACTTTGCCTAATTTGAAGGTATTTTTCTTAAAATATCGCCTTTAACTCTCAATTGGATTTTTGTCTAGTTAATATCCAAATCAATCGTTGCTACAATTATTTGGAAATTGAAATTATAACATCGCTTTTTTTAACGCTTCGGTTACAAACTTGATTACCCAGTATGTTTTTGTTAGGGTTTTCTGTTGATCACGGCTTAGATAACTTTAACTTTTGAACACTTCAATTCTATATGTATATTCGATTTCCATATGTGCAGGATATATTACAGTCGTTCATGCTAAATGCCCTAACCCCTACTATTTGTTTTTTATATGCCCCTGTCTACTAATCTCATCTGTTGAGTGCGCTTTGAACTCTGTGTCTGCAGCACGAGTAACGCCTCGAACGTTTCCAGATTGCGGCATAAAAAATGTGTTGACATTGCGATGAGGGGGAGAGAGCTCATAGATTCCATAAGTCATTCTGGGCAATTTATGGCATTTATCGAAGTTTCAAACAGGCAACCAAAGTTGCCAGGGTCCACATAAAAATTAAAAACTCGCTGTTCAGCTGGAAAAAAGACGTAGCTACGCGGCTTTGTAAAGGCAAAGGTCCAGGCAGAACTCATAGGAATACACTAGTCAAATATGATACAAAATTGGTTAGGTGAGAAGAGATTCCTTCCACTCTTTATCAGATATTAAAAATCATGGTAAAGACAAATATCTTTAACATTATTTTAATTGACTAAATATCTGCTTAAGCCATAAAACAAGCAGACTTTTATAAAAATCATGATGTCTTCTTAGATATTGCTCGATCATGTCTTTTTTGGTATACCAAAAAGATGCTGCGTCTAATGAATTTTCCTGTGAAAAAATTTCCTTGTGAAGGCAACAAAAATAAGTATGCCGCTTCTGTTTTACAAATTGAAAGTCATGACTGCAAACAAATGAAAATGTCTCGATGGCTTTGTCTTAATTTCCTTTGGGGTGCGCAGTTTTTCTTTACTTTATTTTCTTTTTTGGTTTTGTCAACGTAATGCAAAATTCATTTAGAGAAATTGCCAACGTTGACCAATTAGAATTAAAAGCAAGCAACACCTGTGTCAACAGCCTCACGTGCCCCCCTGTCACAGCCAGAGCTGCCCCACAGTTCCCCAAGGAAATTGCTTGGCGTGCAATTGAAGGGAGCCGGGCCGCAGGACGGGAACAGGACAATCAATCATGCAGCGTGACTCCCGATTCCAATCTAAATGCTAAATGCATGCGGGAAGCCTTAATAAATCTACATGAGTGGAGCGATTTCTAGGCTGCCGAGGGCGTTGACTTCACACGCACACAAGCACACATACACGACACAACAATTAATGAAGTGCGCCTAATTAATGAAAGAGACAATTTTGCTACGACATTTTAATAAAACAACAAGATAAAGGTATTAGCCGCAGCGAGATCCAAAGTATTCCAAAAGATATTCCTCAAGATGTGAACCGTCTGCACTTCTAAGTGAAAAATTAGAGTAAAAGAAAAGCTTTAGTTTATTCCGATCTAACTTTTTATGTCAATATGTTTTAGCTAGGAAAACCTCGAATATGGGAATCTGCTAGTCACGCACTCTCGACTAGAGTACTCATGCCCGTTTTAATCTGATAGCTTTATAGAGTCAAAGATCTCATACCACAGCATTATTGCCTTTAATATACATCTAATAGGCTCAGGCCTCATTCAAGTTGCCGGCAATGGAAATAATTTAATGCGTTTAATTAAAAAGCAGCAGACAAGTTGCAGCAACAAATGAGTAGCGCAAAAGTTGAAAATTGTTTTTACATCTGACAGACACACATACACGCAGAAAGTAAATGCAACACACATACAAATTGAGTGCTAATTAAATTAAGAAGCAAGCAAAATAGTTTTTCACTTGGCTCAAAAGTCAGCCCCGGCAGCTGAGGAGCTGCATCCACCAACTTTTGCCGGGTCGTTTCTTCGGTTTCTGTTTGTTTTCTTTGCGTGTAAATGAGCTCAAATTTGTTGTGCAAATAGCGCATGCTTTAAGCTTGGCAACGACGAGCGGCAAACACAGCCTTTAAGTACATGTGGCTGGCATTTTTGCATGTATAGTATAGTACACTGCAAGAAATTTACTTACTTATGCTTAATTATTTAATGTAACCTTGTAATTGCTCGCTCTCTGATCACATGAGTGCAGCATACTTTTATAAAATATGCCGCTAAAATAATAAAGTTTAAGCTATTTACCTAAGCCGTTTTTTTCTCGCAGTGTACTTAAAGCATGCAAATCTGTAACCACGAAAAACAATTGCATATTAGATATGCGCATATGTTAGTGCAAATGCCAAACAGCTTAAATAACAGGCAACACTCAATGCAGCAAAGCCACAAAAACAAACGAAAAATTCTACACGGGAACACGACTGCATCTTCAACTGCATCCATCTGCTGCTTCCCATCTGCTCAGCTGCAGCTTTGGGTCTGAGTCACCGCAAGGACGACCACGGCGCTGGAGTGATTGCAAACAGGGCGCAAATGCAGCGCATAAAACTAAAACTAACAAACGGACGGAACAGCACCGGGGCTGCAGTTCTAGGCGGAAACGGAAGTGCCAGGCAGAGCAAGGCACAAGACAAGCCTCGAGCTCAGTCAAGTAGGAAGCCGGGTTAGCTTGGTTAGCTGGAAAGTGGCTGCGCCCAGAAGCAAAACCGGGCTAATGCTGCTGGCTGCTGGCTGCAGCAGGCAAAGCCTCAAGCATGCTTGAGATGCAAAGTAAATGCAAAACCACAGCAAATTATGTTGAGAGCTGGATGCGGAGGCCACGAATGGAGTATGAAGTAAATGGCTTGGCTCGGCTCGGCTCGGCTTGGCTTGGCTGAGCCGTGCACGATAAGGCCCTGGCACCCAGACAGCTCAAGTGATTTTCCTTGAGTGTGCCTTGAGCAGGTGTCTGTTTAACCATTATGTTTAGTTGCAGGCAATTTGTTTTTACCATGTACCCACAGAACGAGGAACTAAAAACGTGCAACGAGAGACGAGCATTTTTTAGGGCGCTGCAAAATGTACGACCCGACACACCGGTCGACTCCGGCCTGATTACACTCTGCTACCAAATTTTCAACAGATAATTTTCAAAACTGGAAAAGGGCATAGAGAGCAAAAAAGTGTTAAGGTAAGCAAAGTGAGATATTTAGTAGGACAAAAAGAGAGAAATGTAAAAATAATTCTATATATGTATGAAAGCAATTTAAGAATAATTTGGATAGATAATGTATAAAGAAAATTAACAGGATAAAACATGGAAAAAATATGATAAGGTCAACAAAAAAATATATATATATAGAAATGATCGAAGAAAATGTGATCTTACAATTTGTTGGAAATACTTAACATCTTAAGTATAATTTAATATAAATTATTGAAGGGTATTAGAAAAGTTCTTAAGCCATAATTCAATACATATGTAGACAGCAATATAAATAAATTGAATTCACTTTCAAACCACAAAAACTGCGCAATAAAAGAGCACATTAACTAACACTTCTATCGATTGGCTGCAACAGTTTTTCAGCATTACAAAAGGCATTTCCTGTTGTCCAGTGTTGCATTGCGGCACTACAAAAAAAGTGCACAGCGAACCTACTAACTGATTAAGTTGCTAGCAACAAAAGATACTTTATTAACAAGAGCAACAATAAGACAGGGAGCAGCAGCAGCAGCAGCAGCAGTAGTAAAAGTTGAAACTATGGCTCACAGCTCATCATGTCCGACCAGAGAGTAGCGATGCTTGGAGGGACCCAGATCCTTGAAGGTGGATAGCGGCGGCGGATTGGTTTCGTGTTCGATGGCATGCCGCATTTTGAGTTTGTGCTTTAAATGCTGGCTGCTAAAATCGCTAATGAACATTTTTAAATGGCCCGGAATGTACATGTCCTTAAACTTGGGATACGGATACATAAACTTTAGCGAATCGATGGCGATCAGGGGCAGATCCCGTTGCGTTTTGCCCATGTGCAGCACCGAATGCTGAAACTTGAGGCCGTTGACGGTGACAAAGTTGAATTGGCCACAGTCCACACAGCCGGCCAATTGCATTTCCACAATGGACTTGAAATCCTTCACAGAGCCAACATCGTCGGGCATATGGAAGAGAACGAGCAGCGGCAATCGCTGTTCGATTATCTCCTCCACATTGCCAAAGTCGACCTCACGCACCAGCGGCACACACTTCTTAAAGAGCCACTCCTCCATTTCGATTTGTGATTTCGCATCGCCGTAATAGATCTCATCCGCAGCATGGGTGCGCGCAACGTCCGGACGGTAGACAATTGTGGGCATTTTTTCCGTAAACGCCACATTGTCCAGCTTGGCGCCGATTCTTATATAGAAATCACAATCGTTTTTATAACGCTCCGCCAGCAGAACAAAAAGGGCTGCAGACAGCTCCTTACGGCTCTCGAAGAAACCAATCACCGAACGCCTTGTGACATCAATCTCATCCAGCTCCTGGATATTGATTATCGTTTTGATGGACGATTCGAATTGCTTCTTCACATACGCGACAAGCGCCTCAACGGAACGCTGTCCACGATACTCCTGGCGCAGCGGATGGCCGCGATAATACAGACGCAGCGTCGGAAACTTGCTGATGTCGCACATATTGGAGAGCTCCACTTCCAGCATACAGTCGACGCGTGCCAAACGCACTCCCGCCGACGGTGGCAGCTTCTCCGCCAGCCGGACGGCCGCATCCTCAAAGATCGGCATCAGGCGGGTACTGAAGTGACACCAATCCGCATAGAAATTGATAAAGACCACCTCATATGCGTGCAAAGTGCTATTGAAGTTCCTCCTGGTGATCTGCAATACATTCGGCTCGACTGGAGCTGCCGTAGACATCGTTGGCGGTGGCGGCGTTGGTTGAGCCCGTGCAGTTCTACCTGGCGTCCTCTTCTGATGCGTCGGCAGAAACAACGGAGCAATCAGCAACAGAGTTGGCCAAATAGAAAACAACATTTTTGTCTAGACTAATTTAAAAAAATTAAAATGTATTTGCCTAAAGAGAATCTTGTCAGTTTAAAAAATCAAACTTTTAGCTAACTAAATTTATAATTTCCCTACAGATCGGCAAGTTAGCATGCCGCAGACATAGGCAATACACTTAAACTCAATAAGAGCCTTACTAGTTTGATGTAAAAATCTTAATTAATATCACAAAGTTAAATCCACGTTGTTAAACAAAAACTCAGGTAAGAGCCCGATCGAGCCTGTCAATGATATATGCAATAAAACATAGTATACATGTTCTGTAGCATAGATTTAGAGTAGCAAAGATTTAGATATATACATGTAAGTTTTATCTATATAGATTATCAAGTACTAAAGGATTTTAAACAGACAGGCAGAAAAAAAATAAATAAATATATATATTATATATTCATTATGATCACGCAACATAGTTCTGTTAATCTAATAGTTTTGCCTTCTAGCTTTAATACTAGCGAGGCTTTTCCCGGGGTAAGCGCCTAAAATTTACTTATTCGCGCGTTTTCCGAACTGTTGCGTGAATTTTCAATAACTGCTGAAAACGTTTCTCACTCTGAAGAAAGTTGCTAGAACAGTAAAAGCCGATCAGATAGAAATAAAGATATGCAAAAAAATTAAAACTGATTCATTAATTTTTTATAGAGCTTTCAAAATAAGTTTGAAGCCTATCGGAAGAAATGTAAATTGTTGCCAATACAATCTTTAGTCCACATTTTCCAATTTTCAAAAAGGGTTCACAGATTTCTAATAAATGTAGCTTTAGCCTTACAGCTGTGTTCAGAAAATATCTTTGGAATCGATTTGAGTCAGAGCCTTATTTGTACTCTCAGTTTTCCACAAAAATTGCTGCTCATATTACAGCAATTTAATAATTTTTTTCCAATTAATGTATGTTTTCTTTCAGACTTAGATCTGTGATCGGCGCCGACATTCAAAGGCTTAATCAGCCCATATCTGTAGCCGAACAAAATCCCAATGAAAACAAGCAAACATTTGCCGGGCTTACTCATTGCCCGCTTGGCTCACAACTCGCTGGCAATCGTTGACCGGGTGCAAAAGGACTAAGCAAATATTTGCAGCTGCAGCTCCACAAATCACAAATGAGACGAGGGCAGATGCCAAGCGTCAATACAAACGTTGCGGATGAGATGCCAAAATCTCAGGATGGGGTTTCATTGGCAGGGCACGTTGTCGGTTGCAGGGGGTTGTTGTTCGAGACGTTGTTGCTGCTGTTGTTGTTGTTGCTGTTGTTGTTGTTGTTGGCTGTCGTCAACATTTCAAAAGGACCTCAACATTGACGGAAACGGAAACAACAACTTGCCCGCACTCCAGAGCAAGAATGGTTGGCTGCTTGCTTTGCGCCCGGCAATGTTCCGGCTGCCTGTTTAATGACATTTTTGCGCCCATTTAAGCTTCCGTCGTGAGCTCTGTCGATTTTTGCAGTAATTTACTTAAGAAAAGTCTAAATATGTTTGCCAACAGCTCCAACTCCGCCCCTCTTCACTCTTCAGGCCTCGACTTTATTGCCAGCAATTTCTGCTGCTACCAGACAATTGTTTATGGCGTTTATCTTTGCGTCTGGCGATAAAATGTTGTGTAAAAATCCATGTGACTTTATGCGACAATATCCAATAAATCTACGGCTGGCCCAAGGCCCGAAGCCTGGCCCCCGCTGCTAGTGGGGGGGGTTGGCTCCGGCTTGACCTTCACAGCCTTTTCAACGCCAACCCTTCGGCATTTGGCTTTGTTTGTATTTGCTGCATTGTCTGCGCCCTTTCAAAGGGTTTAATTGTGCTTTTTGTCTGCGTGTTGACATAGGTAAGGCCATCCGTCCATATGTCGTACTTCCTCTATCCCCAACTCCATTCCATGTTGTTGAACATTCCACTTTTTCTTCTCGCTAACGAACGTGTTAATTAACTTGTATAAATCAAGCGATAATAAACTGATGAGCTGCTAAAATATGAGGGTAAAAAGCTACTAGTACCAGCTTAATAGTACTACAAATGCTTTGATTTAGACAGTTTGCTGAGATCTTATAAGACTGTTCTAACCTCCTAATTCACTTGACACATAGCTCACACTTTTCGGACAATTCACGCTTCTAAGTGGAAAATAGTTTTATGAGTTTAAGTTTACTTCTCGTCAGACTTTTCATTTCCCATTGCGATTAATTTGCATATAACATTTTAAATAGCCAATAAATCCAATAAACGAAACGCCAATACATAATTCAGCTTGAGCAATTTAAAAGTCAATTCACAAAGCCCGTCAAAGCTGCTTCAGCAAATATTTTCCGCCGGAAGTGTGGGTTGGGTTGGGGTAAGTGCTGCCATATTCAGCTCATAATTCTCGCGGTTGGCTTTAGATTGAATTTCTGCAATGGATGCGTCTTTTTGATGATAAATGCGCTTGCCACAAACGATTTGTTGCGCATACTTTGGCGCAAAATTTATGCGAATTTGTAATGCAATTCATAAGCCGCAACGTCCCAGAATGCAGCAGCAACAGCAGCAGCAGCAGCAGCAATGCATTGCTTACAGGGTTGCAATTTATTGTGGCGCAGAGTTGTCAATGCTGGCAAATAAATGGCCCCCTTCCCACAACAAAGGAATGCCGCGGAAACGACTTTATATGTTAATCAGCAAGCATTTGTCAATGGAAATAAAATAGAATAAAATATCCTGAAAGTAGGCTATAATGAATAAAATATTTTTTATGCTTATATTAGTAATATTGTCGAGTGGTTTGTTATTTGAAACAATCAAATCTTATTGCTGTACTTAACCTTGGAAGGCTGCCATATCGCTCAACTTTCGCCTATAACAACGCCATTTTGTAACAGCCCTACTTGTGTTCATTTCTATTTATTATATTTAACAGTTATTTCGTTTAAGACTTACGCAAATCGGTTAATAAATGTATGTTCACAATGTTTAAGTTTGAGTTATCGTATTATAAAGTAACACACTATCCTTAAACAAACTGTGCCAAAGAAAATTGAGGCACTTGTAAATAAGAGAACATGTTTCAACATGGCATAATTGTGATTCAGCTCCTTCTGGCGTGATGAAACTTTTTAATACAATCCAGCCCCCGTGCCCCTATATCAACACATGCATGACTTAACGCCATCTACTGGCGACAAGTTTAATTATTGAGTTGCAATGCCGCCATTTTGATGTTGCCTTCAACGCCACACTTCACAGTTTGTTTGCTTAGTCATTTAGTCATTCAGCCAGGCAGTCAGCTTGTCAGTCTGTCAATGTTGACAACGAAGCGACATCGCCGTCGCCATCACTAAACGCTTCAGTTGGCATTTCTGCTCTGCGGCGGCGGCGACGGCGGCGTAGACGTTGGCAGCGCATTAAAACAATTTTGTTAATTAAGTAGGAAAAATTGTTAGTTTATTTACTCATCAACTTTGCCAGTTGCCATACCTAACGCACACACTCTCATTGCACACACTCACTTAACTCTCTCTCCCTCTCCCTTTCTTTACCTTTATTCCTACCACCCTCGCCCCCTTACTCCAGCCATCTATCCTTTGCCAAGTTTTTTGCCTAGAGAGGCAAGTTTGCAGTTTGCTTTGTGCGCTGTTGCTCAAAAATTCTCAAGTGCACAATTAATTAGTAAAGTTGGCAACGCCGACCGAGAATAGCAGGCAGCCGGGCGAAGCAATGCGGATCGCAATTTTCAACGCTCTTTTGGAATTTATGGCCCGCTCTGATTAGACGAGCGCAAGTTTCATGGCGCCTCCACTCGGCTGGGGGGGGGGCAACTACATAAGTAGCTAAGCTTATCGGCAATTTTCGGTGGAATTGTGTCGAATTTGACTCTCTTTGGTTGGCATCAAATTGAAAATTGATTGGCAATTGCATAAGTAATGAAAGTGGTTCGTGGACCAATCAATTGCTTTCAATCACTTCGTATATCACTTTGTATTTTACAAAGCGCTATTGTTCAGACTAAAATTAAATTGATTTGGATTGAAGCTTTTCTAGGCGCTTAAGTGCAAATCGGCTTGTTCTTTTCTCAGAAAGTAAATTAAATACGTTTTTTGAAAGCAATCAATACAGATCAGCCTTACTAACTAATATACTTGAGTAAATGAGTAAAAAAAATGACAAAAATATATAATATAGTTCTGTCTATCCTCAATATAAGGATGTAATTTATACCCATATTTTGCAATGATATCGAAAAGGTCATTTCATAAAAGTAATATATAATAAATAATAATAAATATAATAATAATCCAACGAAGCAAATGCATACGATTATTTTCCATATACATTATGTAATTAACTATTACTAAATATTATTTGTTTGTTCTTATTTATTGAGGCTTTCAAGAGAAAATCATAGATACTGATCAAAAGCAAACTATCTTAAAACATACATATTTGTTGATAAACTTTTTTAAATTCCGTTAACATAACCGCCGCTTGCCGCTTACTTGCTGTTAGACGTTTTCGTCGGCTAACATTTTACAAATTGCAATTGGCGCCATCTGTTGCCTACTCAATCAACTACACTTCACATTAAAAAAATGTTGCTCTGCTGCGCTTTGTTTCAGCTTATAATATTGTTGGTGAACTAATTTAAATAATTAATCAGTGCTATACAGTACAGTAGCAAGTTCAGGAGATCATTAAGGGCATATTTACTTACAAGTTATCAGATTCTTAAATATAAACAGCTATGACAGCCGATAGTTAGCCGGCAATCGATAGCTGCACTGGAAATAATATTCGGACCATAACGAAGTGTAACATGTACTTAACCAACAGTAAAGACAACAAAATGACTGACAACTAATGGTAAAATCTATTAATCCCCTTTACACAAAATTAAATGTCGCGTTCTCTCAAATCGGTTAAACATTCTTATTCAAATACCGATTAATCGAAAACATATTTAGCATCTCTAATTTTAGTTTTTGGTCACATTGCCAGGGCGTTGACAAGGCGTTGTTGTTATTTCATAAACATTTTGTTGCATCTTGTAAATAACGATTTTATTTATTAAAAATGGTCGTCCTGAGCTCCTGTTGGTCACCCATAATTTGGTCCAACAATGTACGCACGGGCAGCTATGCTGTTGCCGCATACACGGCATCGTTAAGCGTAGTATTAATTACCCTGATTTGCTACATGCTCGCTGGTGGAGAGTCTGGCCAACTTTATTCACCCTTGTTTGAAACGGACATAAGGACTTCCATGCCGATAGCCGGTGGCTTTTTTATAATTTACTTCCTACTTATTATATTGTCATCCTATCTAGTGTACTTTGGAATTAGGATAAGGTGAGTTAAACAAGTGTGTACCACGAATTTGTAAATACTTAATATTCCGAATAAAACCATTTCACAGTACGCGTGGCTGGCTGTTGCCCTGGCTCTTTTTGGTTGGACTCGCCATTCTATTTCAATTTGGGTGGAGCCTTTGGTTAATCGGAGGCTACTACATATACGTGAGCATATATAGATTATGAATTTTAATTCCTTATATACCAACTAATTAACTTTCATTCAGTTGGAGCAAACATTCTCGGCGCTGCTAAACTTCGTTTGGGTGGCTTATAATGTAAGTTGAACATGCAGTTGTCGTCACCAATTTAACCATTTCTCGTTTAGTTATACTGCTGGCTGGTCGTATTCTCCCAGTACCAAATCTTCCTGGAGATACAAAATCCAAATATCGAACTATTGATGCCTTAAGGACGACATTCTTGTCGAATGCAAATCGAATAATCAACAAGTTTAAAGCATTTTAAAATTAGATTTACTTATAAGTATTTTGTCCATACAAACAATCCGTCCACAGTTTATACTCCAATAACATAATATTCCATATTAAATGTGTCTTATACATAATATTTTACACTTATGTATTTCATACAACACGTAGAGAATATTACACATTAACACAAATAAATTTGTATTTTTACTGTACAAACTAGATATTAATTTAGTTTTTTTTCCGACTGTGGAAAATGCTATAGCTATGAAAATCATGGGGTCTAGAATTTTATAAGTTGGGTCAACAAATATTGATGTAAGTCAATCAAAATTAGGCCCTCAACTTATTGCCGTATATCTTAGCGATATTCAGTATAAATATCAATGTTTATTTAGCATTTGTTAAATTTTATTTTACACATCATGTAGCTTGAACGTTTATACAGATATTGACGAACCTTAAAACCACTGAAGCAAAATGTGGATACAAGGGGCGAAAAGCCAAATAAACAAACTAAAGTTCCGTTTGTGAAAGGGTGTTTACATTAACTACATTTTAAGAAGCGAATAATGTACATAGTGCTGAGCCCTGGTCTAATTGTAATGGCTAAGTGTTTAACACAAAACTTTTATAACGAGTTAATTTAAGTTTTCTCCTCCTTTTCCTTGTTGTAGCGCTCGAGTTCCTTAAGAAATTGAGCCTTCGGCTTCATGACATTTGGCCGCTCACCGCGACAGTTTGGACAAAACCATTTGCCCTTTGGCTTCAGCACAAGGGAAACGCACGAGAAGTGGAACCACTCGATGGGGCACAGATCGTTGTCGCAGAGTATCATTTCTCCAAATGAAATCTGAATATAAAGTAGATTAATAAAATAAGTGTTTTATGCGATTACCACAAACTTTCGCGTTACATACCTGATTACAGACGCAGTACGTTGGCTCGTCTGGATCGATGGGTTCAGGCGGAGGCGTTTCTTCACGAGCATTCGTCGCTGTATTCGAAGCGCCCGCGCCACGCACTTTGCGTTTCTTCTTTTTGCCAGAATTGCTGCCACCGCCATTGCCGGTACCGCCACCTGTGCCACTAGCAACACCTCCGCTTGATAACTGCACTTGGCTTTTACGTTGGCCCAAACCACCGGAACTGCCCAAAGAAGCCTTCCGATCACTAGTTCCGTTCCCACTACTACCAGCTTCGTTAGCCGAATTCGATTCATTGCCGCCCATTTCGGTGGAGCTGCCATTGTTTGGTAAACTTTCGTTGCGCCGTCGTGAACGTTTACTTCCCGAACGCTGAAGCTCGCTATTACCGCCACAAAAGGTGCCATTGAAGCCGTTGCCACTGCTGTTCAAGTGGCTCGAACGATCGTACGTCGGCGTTGAACCTCCGCCATTGCCACTTAAGCCGCCGCCAGAAGCTGATACGCCCATGACAGCACCAAAGGGCAGTCCTCCATAATGGTCCTTGGCAACGGAGTTAGTTGAGTTGCCCAGTCCACTACTATTTAACACGTTGTTGCCCGCACTGTTGCCCTGATCACACATTGGACTCTGTAACCTTTGAATCTTTGATGGCGGGCCATCGTCAAGCTGCGCGTAACGTTCCCGCTCCTCCTTTAAATCGAGATTCTGCTGATCTGTGTCCAATTGTCTGACTTTACCGTCTATTATCTCCTGTAGGAGATTAACAATCTGCATTTTCTCATCACCCAGTTCCTGAGCCTGTATTAAGCTTTGGTGCATACGCGTTATGGAACGGCATCGGCGGTTGGTGTCTGGCGAGTTTTGATGCAGCACATAAAGATCATAGTAGTGATCCACATCTCGTATTAGTCCTATTAGGAGGAAATAGTATGCATGGGATAAGTGGGATTTTTGGTGGAAGTATATACGTTTTGATTTTACCTCGGTACTGCACGTCTATATCACGTATGCGAGACAGCTGGCGTTGAACATCATCAGGTAGATTCTCCACGGAATCAAGATAATTATCCACATAAGTGGCCGAGTTTATAGCCTCCGATTCGGATGCAATCATGTTGTGATTTGTTGTTAAATACTTGCTATCTGCGGCCCTACGACATTGAATTCAACACAGCGGTATCGTTCATTACAATGAAACTTTAAATTAGGTGTATGCAAATTGGCCAAATAAGTTTTTACGCTGCAAAATATAAGTTTCAATTTTTTAAGATGTTGCGACTGTACGCCTGTATTTGTGTATGTGCATGTGTATCATTTGAGTGTTGGAAAACATTAAAATATACTCTTTTTAACGTTAACATAACCGCAGCAGTAATAGTTGACAGAGCGGCTCTTTTTTGCGTTTACTGTTACAAAAGCTGCGTTAACAGTTGAGTAAACCTTACCTATGTTATCACAAATATTCGAGCGCCGATTTAAATTCTTAATTATTTTATGATAAATCATTTTTGTATAATTTTATTTAAGCAGTCTGTGCATGCATCTAGGTATTCATAGACAAATATGAGTAAATTTAGTTAACAGCAGGGCGACGCTATATATAACAGTAGGGTTACAGCTCATAATGAGCACAACGGTGTGCCCGCGATTATTTAAAAGTTCAGTCCTACAGTGGAGAGTTGATGTTCGAATATATTGTAACGATCGAGCAATACAAGCAACTTTTAAAGTACGAAAGGTCATAATGATTTCGCTGCTATCTATTACGACATTTTCCGGTTAGAACAACCGGTATCTTCAAGAAAAGACAAACATTAAGAAATAATTTGTTTTATGTTATTTTATTGATTTCCTATTTTGGTATCCTTTTCTCAATTGGCTCTTCATGTTAATTTTGACGTAGTTATATTAAAATATTAAATGTTCTGTCTAATGGCTTGGAATCCTATAAGCAAATCACATTGCTTATTTGGCATTAAATTAACATATTCAAACAAGCAAATCAACTTCCAGTTTTGGAAAAATTGACTTTTTCTTATAGCTTGGCTCTTAGCTAGAGGAGCAATGCCAACTTTGACCTGTCAGTGGACGAAGAAGTTAAAAATTTGAGTTGTTAACGAGCCTGCAGCTGGTCCGTATGCTGTTCTGTGTGTACAGCTGTGTGTGTGTTTATTTGGCAATGTGAAACATGTGTCTAAAACAATTTATAAATATTTTTATAATATCGTTGTGTGGCATTGTGTAACCTACAGCAGCCTGGGCAGCCATATGGAAATGGGGTTTCGGTGACACGCAACCAACTCAATGCACGAGCAGCAAACACAAACCAAACACAGACTCAGACTAAGACTAAGATAGTAACTAAAGATTGTCTAAGCAATGTCAATCGGGCCGGGGGTGAGCCGTCTGGGGTCTTAGGCTGGGGCCACACCGGGCCACTGTGGTGTGCGCCAAGTTTTGTTTTTGGTAGCTTTGGCAGAGTTTTGGCTTTTATCTGCCTACAACAGCGACAACGAGCTCATTCAATTAACCAGACGCGTTCCATGTGGCTCGGCTCCTATCTTACTTAGTGCATTTCGTGGTCGTACGTGATAAATATGCGAATTCCCAGCACTCTCTACCAAATGTCCAGCGTTTTCATTTTGTTATTGTCGCTTTGGTGTTTACTTTCCCTCATTCAACCGGCAAAAGGTTGTAGCTGAGATCTACTCTCTGATAATGTAATCTGCATGTGACTTGTGTTTTCTATTTTATATTTGTGTGTTCAATAGCCAAATTCAGCCTGGACGCATTGAGATTCTTGTTGCGTAATGGCAATTTCGATATAAATCCATTTAATTGCCATCTATTGTCGTGGGAAACGTGTCCCAGGGAATATATTGGATTTCAGTTATTTACCAGGTGAGCTGATTTATGAACTAAAGCCTAAAAATTATCGTAAATTAAATTGAAAATTATTTGCATGATTTAGAATACGTTTTCTAACATTAACCTGATATGAAATGATGCAAGGGATACAGATTAATAGAAATGTAAGCTTCCCATGACATCAATAAATAAATAAAAGAGCAAAAAGTTGTATTAGAATTTAATAGAAACGATTTAATCGGTAGTACGCGATTGCCACAAATATTTTCAAACATAATATGAAGACTATTTTGTATTATATTAACGCAGTTTTCTTCTCTTCAACAAATGTATTACTTCTTATTGCTTTTTGGCATTATTGTATTTCCTATCTTTACAATATTTGTTAGTTATTTAAATAAACAAATATGCCCAATAAAATATTTAAACCCTTTCAATTTTTCTCAAGTCTGCACTTTTTCAGCCTTAGTCTAGGTTTCTACGGTATCCGCAGGCTATCCCAGACAAAGACTTACTTTTACCCATAAATCAAGGTCTAACGACATCCAAAAAACTTGCTTTAAATACTTTTATAACTATCTTTCACTTTTCTACGCCCTTGCTGCTTCGTTGGGGTTTGAATATTTTGTCACAGACGACTTTGCCTCCTTTTACTGTTTGTTCGCAGACAGCCATAACAATGAGGCCAATGTAGAAGTGGAAAAGCATTTATTTGGTGCACAGCATGAAATCGCTTGAAAGACAACATTTTGGCCAGAAAATTGGGCAAAATAGTTTTCAAATCATATGAGTTTATCTTATCAGTTAAACTGTATAATTATAGCTGCATAGCCATAAAATAAAAGTAATTTTTGGCGTGGCTTCATCTATTAACGTGCATTATCAAATCAAAAGACTTAGGCAACAAACTTGCAATAGTCTGGTTAACAGTTTCGTTTCTATCCTTCATAACAATTAAGCACAAAACCATAGCTAACCACGACGAAGTGAGTGTACGCATTAAAATATATCTATAACCATTTAAATTTACATAATATCGTGCTAAAGAAATAGGCAAAAACTGCAAAGAAATACCAACAAAACAAAACAAATTACAGACTCGACCGCGGATGATAACACACAGCCGCAATTGGCTGCGACGACTGCGAAAAGCGAAACCAAAACCGAAAACCAAACTGAAAACCAAATCAAAACAAGCAAGGAAAATTATTTTTTAAAACGGTGATTTCTAAATACTCTGCAACTGCAGTGTATTTTTAACAAATTATTTATCGTTAAAGTGTTTACAGCAAAGTCAAATGTTTGTGCTAAAAACGTGCTTAATATATAAATTTAAATTTTAACTAATCTAGAACTATTTGTCATATAATCAAAGTCGAATGCAGAATCTGTCTGAGCTTAAATAGTTAATTATTAAAGTCTTCAATTCACAGCATGAACCAAAAAGTTGTCGTTAGGTTCGGTTTGAGAAGGTTCCTCATGTTGTTTTAAAATTGTAGTTAAATAGCTTAAATAGTTCAAAATTTGCCAAACAGTTATTTTTCTATAAAAATGTGTGCTCATCTAAGTTTTAGGCAGGAAGTTGGGTTCTTGTTTCAGTTTTTGCTGAACAAAAACTGTAATTTCTGGACTCGTTTCGGTTTAAACTGTGTTCATATAATTCTTCAGACTTAGCTTGTCGCGAAATTCTTGGATCTCATCGAGATAGCATTTAATCGAAGCAATTAGTTAAGAAATTACTTTTCATCAAGTAAGTACTAACAATTTCACAATACCAATCAGACGGCTATTGCCATAATATCCGCTCCGCGGAATGGTATACAAAATCAGTGCAGCGTTGCGTGTGAGTTTCCACACAAAGTCAGTCGAAAGCATTCGCCAAGGTAAAGTCAAGGCAATAAGTGGCTGCGGCTGCGCCGACGACAGCGAAATTCTTTGGATAGTTGGCAACAGTTGCCGCGGCTGCATTTCCACTGCACTTGGCGCATTCGAAGCGCATCGCGCGAATTGGCAAGACGTGAAAAGCATCCGCCGTTATATGAAAAGGATACAAGCCCGTATTGGACCGTTTTTTGTGTTAACTATTTGAGTTGAGAAAATGTGCAAAAACAAATGCGAGCTAAAATGCAATGTTCAAAACATAAATAAAAGCAGCATTTATAAATTGTTTATAAAAACGCATTTGTTGTAAAGAAATTGCACTCCATTGCATTATTTATAACGTATATGAAGCAACTGTCAAACAGGCTTTAAAGCAGAAAAGTTGCTTTTAATTATGGTTAAAAAAGTATTAAATTAATAAAGAGCAAAAACAGGTTTTTGTTCAAAAAAACGTTAAACAAATGTTTCTTTAAAACTTAAAATAAAACATGAGTTTATGTTAAAGCATAAATATAAAAAAAAGTATCTCAAATACTTAAAAACTTTAATTAAATAATTAATTTATTAAATTAAATAATTAAAATTTGAATGAAAAATGTATGAAAATTCCTGAAATTTGAACTAATTAAAACGGCATGCACACTTCAGGCACAATTTGTAAAAATAAGTTTAAGCCAAGCAATTGCTAATCGCATTGCATGTCAAATTTGTAATTCAATGTAAAAGTCAAAAAAAAAAAAAAAAAAACGGACAGAAGCAAACACACATGTGTGGCAATTAAAAGTGCTTGGTGCAACTGGTGAAAATACAATTGAAGAGAAATGCATTGTTTAATTGTGATTTGCCTCTTTACGCTTATTTTCAAAGGTACAACAACAGCAAATACGACAATTAGAAAAGTTGACAAATAAGTTTCGCTCACGATCTAACCAATTTTGCAGATGTGCAAACGCTGCTGCTGAACCAAATGGATTGGAAAAATCTGCTCAACAGCGGAGCGTTGGATGTGAACGTGTTGCGCTGTTTTCTGCGCGACAAAAACTTTTGTCCCAGTCCCTACATTGAGCATCGGCTCTATGCACCGTAAGTTCGTGGACTTGGTTTTCTGATCCAATGACAGCCAATTAAGGCCAATGCGATAATCTGCGAAGTGTCTCTAATGCATGCACAATACTTTAAGATCTTATGCCAAACCAATTTAATTGCGAATTATTTTGGGAGAAAGTGTGAGAAATCGGAATACGCTTCGGTTTGGTAATGGAACTCGCCTGGTCAGTGTGCCAGCTATCAAAAAACTTGTGCAACCACAAGGATATGGGTTGAGTATGTACAATTAATGGGCGCGTAACTTGTTTTTTTCTTTTTTTTCGATGCCGCCAATTCGACCCAGTTCAGAAATTGGCACAGAAATTGGCCCGCGGCGCAGGCTGGTTGGCGTGGCCAATAAGAGCGTCCGAAGATGACATCAATCGCAATTGAAAATAAAATATTGCTTAGCTGGTCTACAACCTGTCTGCCCGCCTGACTGGCCCGACGCGACCAGCTCTCGACCAAGTCCAAGTCCAGCTTTAACAAGTGCAGCTGCCTCTTTTGGCTAGCCAATGTTGCGGTAATAGATGCCTCACATTACGTGATGTGCACTTCACAGATGCTGCAAACTCGAAGCTGGCAAAAAATTGGTTATTTTCACTAGACGAACGGGTAAGGCCCAGTTGCCACCCGTTAAGATCGCTTTACGGTTAAATGCTCCCACGCGTGCCTGACTAGATAGATTCAAGGAATTTATGCAGAAAGCTCGTGTTCATATAACATTACGTTTGATTTATTTTTAGCTAATAATAACTCCTACACTGAGAAAAAGCTTAGTTTATTCAATAGTTTTTCTTTATAACAAATTTGTTCATAGATGATAGACTTCTTGTTGCCCTAGAAAAAATCAATCAAAATATATTTGAGATGTGCTTGAATGCAAAATATGGGTCAAAAGTCTATATTTGGGCTTCGAGCTTTTCACGCTGATAACATGCTTGTTCTTAATTCGATACACATCCAAAACTATAGTTTGGGTAGATTAAGAATTTCCACAGGAGGGAACACAGGTGTACATTTCGCGAATTTTAATATGAAGCTTTGTTTATTAATAAGTTGTTTAGCGTTAGCTGATCTTTATGTGCTTTTTTTTTTAATAAATTAATCGCGTCTTAGAAGTTTTCATTAGAAATTTTTCATTTCATCAGTTTTTCGTGCCCTCATCGTAAGCCTTTTGCTTAAACGTATCGAGCCATTAAATCGGTTATACATTTCAAGAGTCTCAACTTACATTGTTCAAATTTGTTGCCATTTTTTTTGTGTGAAATGCATTAATGTTTTGATGTGTTTGTTATGCGCCCATATGTATTTGACTGTATTATATTACATTAGTATATCATGTCATAGCCAATTGCTACCCGTCCAGTTACTGATGCATAAATTGTTCAATATCATTGTTTTGCTTAGCTGCGTATTTTCCTAGACACATACATACTATGTAGATGTAAATGTGCATGTTTACATAATTTTTATCTGGTTTCGCTTTTTCTTTTCGCAGTAATGGGCCACGCTCTGGGCTGCCACTGAACATACACAATCCATTGACCCTGTACAAGGGCGGTTTCAGCAAGCAGCGCGAGACGGTATTCATAGTGCATGGATTTAATGGGACCGCCATTGACATGCATCTACAATTTCTGAGGGATGGTTAGTGAGTATGAATTGGACGCGCCAGGCAAGACCTGGTGGGGTTAACCATTGTTTGTTTATCCTTAGCATATTTGTCGCGCGAATATAATGTGATAACTGTCGATTGGCGACCGCTGACCCGATACCCCTGCTATCTGCACTCGCTGATCAATACGCGTCTGACGGCACAGTGCACGGCTCAGGTGTACTCGTTTCTCACACACTATGGCGCCTCGCGTGAGAAGATCACCTGCGTGGGCCATTCGCTGGGCGCCCACATCTGCGGCATGATTAGCAATCACTTGACCAAGAAGCAGTATCGCATCATTGGCCTGGATCCCGCGCGTCCGCTAATCGAGCGCAAGAAGAGCAATCGATTTCGCTTGTCCCACGATGATGCGAGTGTCATACAGGTGCTCCATACCAATGCCGGCTATCTGGGCCAAGAAGACAATACGGGGCATCTCAACTATTGTGTAAATGGTGGCCGCGTGCAACCGTTCTGCAAGGGAAATCCGATTAGTAAGAGCATAAATATTTATATATTAGCTAGTTTCATTTGGGTTTATCCAACAGGACGCTATCGATGCTCACATTTTCTGAGCATATGCTACCTGGCCACGGCCACCATGAAGCACACCAAGTTCATGGGCGTTCCCTGTCCCAATGGCTGTGTGAATCTGTCGGGTCCCAAGCGTCTGCCAGTTAACGGTAAAGTTAATCCATTCGAGTTCATATCACTGCTGCGAGAGTATTATATAGGAAACGATGCACCGGATAAGTAAGTAATATGTCACCTGCTATACACCAAGCATTAAAATTATTTACTTGCTTCTAGTGCTCGCGGCTGCATTTGCATTGATGTACCATATGCCAAACACTGTCCATTCACGGATTCGTAGGAATAGAAGCAGTGGCCCACAGTGCACGCTATACCATCTTGTAGATACATGTTTTAAGAAGCTTTATGCACTAGTTTTAAGCAAATGGACGGTACAGTTTTTAAGAAAATTATTTAATTGTAAGCCAAACTCATATAGTTCATTCGTAAGGTCTATCGGATGGTAGTTCCTGCGTGAACCGAACCACTGTTTGGATTCAGTGTTGAACAATTTCATACAACATTGGGCGGGAACTGAGCAATTCGAATTATATGTATTCATGAAAAAAATGCACGGACTCATAAATAAAACTTTGCGACAATATTTATAAATATTTATCTTTTTTCACAGATAATCGGCCAAAATACATGAAAACTGTGCATATAGAGCTCGATTTTTCAATCGTTTTGGCTTTTTTTCAAGATGTAAGCAAATTACAAAATTTGATTCATACATACATTTGATTATTTTACAAAATCTGATATTGTTTGGCTGAGATATGCCAAAAAAAAATCAACAAAATAGGTTGACTTCAAACGGATCGTTTATTGGTCAGGAAATTTTTTAAGCCAAACAAACATTGATTTGTTTGAATGCCAATTAATAATAGGGATCCCGTTGGAGCTAGTAGTTCGATAGGCTATTTGAATTTTTAAAAAACTGGCAGATCAATTTGTTTAGAATTAATGTCTAAGGCTACCTTAAGCACGTATCTGCATATTGGTATATATAGCATTGAGGGTCATTATACCTGAGAAAAGATATTAGGGTTTTAGTGCAAGGCTAATTTTTTCCGGTCATTTTGTACATTTAATATCATTTATAATTTTTTTAAGATTAGTTAGCTGAAACCATATGCTTTAATCCTATTATTGAGGGCCATTATCCCAGAGTAAGGTGTATAAGGAATTCAATTTCTTAGAGATAAATATTATTGAGTAAACCGTCCTTGTAAATTCAAATTTAAACGGGAAAAAGCTCGACTTTTAGTAAGAAAATCGTTTTTTGCTCAAATGAATTACCTCAGTACAGTTTGCTACTTTTTAGAAATATTATATTTCCCTGCCCTTTCTATTACAATGGACTATGTTATGTATAATCATACTAATATCAATTTGAATTAAACAATGTAATATAAAAATCGAGATTTTTAATGCAGGCTTGTTGTTTATCTTGGCCTTTTCATTTTTGCGTTTCACAATTGAATTGTTTAACTGCAACGTGCATTATGCATAGGCCGTGGTGAGTAAATGAAACAATCCAAGGACATTAGGCGAAGATTATCTAAAATAATCACCCAAAATATTTATGGTTGTTCTGCGAAACAGAAACATGCACACACTAACTAAGGTCATGCACCTTGCTGTGCGTACATGAAGATCGGCGACCAAACTGCGACCAGAACTTAAACCGCACAGACATACAGGGTAGCTGTGAGGGGCATCTTGATGCGAGACAAATTCCGAAACCAGAACGATACACCCAGTACTCGGCATACATATGGGCATTCGGTAGGGAGTCGCTGCAACTGCGTCTACAAGGTCATCATCTAGGGAGGAACCCTGCCATGTTTTTCGAGTCCTTAACGTATTCTCATATGGTTGGCTGTTTGGTTTTGCTGTTTTTCTGTTTTAACCGCACCGTTTACCAAAGGGCAAGACGAATTTTGATTTCTCATTCGCCACGCCGTGTTTGTGGTAAGTTGGGGCGTAATCTTTAAGGGTGCGTATTCCATGAATATACGGCATGGGCGGAGTCTACCTGAAAATAATGCATAAATTAGTGTACTCGCTTTTCAGCTCATTTGCAGCTAATATAACTTACATTTGAGTTTTTTTTTTTTTTTTGGTGTGGAACTAGTTGCGAGCTATACTTCATTCCATTCAAGGAATTCGAGCATTTTTTACTTTCAATTTTTCCGTAACTTTCCACCATGATCATAAAACTCTTTTCGGTTGACAATTCAGAAATCAAACCGATCGTTTTTCATGGAACTTTTGGCGTTGCAAGTCAAAAAGTCATAACAAAAGTCGAAAACGTAAAAACCCTTTTCTCTAAACAATGTCAGCCCGGGTACACATGTTCAAAGTAGAGCTCGCTCTTTTTTGACACAATTTCGAAGACAGAAACTGGTCGTAAACAGTTTATTTAGACATAATCGTACAAGAGAAGTGAAAATACAACTTACCTGATCGAGCTGTAGCACACGCAAATTTTTCTCAGGAAAACGGAACCATATGCAGGACTCAACACATCCTAGCCTGAGCTCTACCTCCATAAAATGCGCGTTTGAGTCGTCCTCGCTGGCGTTTCACCTCTCTTCCTGCTTGTTGTTGTTTTTTATTTGCCTTTTTTTTCCGGACTTGGGAAACTTTGCGTGGTATATGTCTATAGCCTTCAATATATCATAGAGTCAAGAATGCTGCGATTTCACGCTCGCTGATTGCCTGAACAACTATTTATTTATGTATTTTCGACATTTAGTCCTTTCTTTCATGACTCTTGGCACTGTGGATCACGTCATAATAGATCGGTGATTGTGGTTTTATAAGCCCATCCATTCGGCCGAATGTCGCGTTTGTCTCTGGCAGGATCGCTTGCGCGTCTTTCTCTTTTGATAAGCAGGCCGTGCCAATTGCGATTACGGCATTTGGAAATATTTCCTGGAAAACTGGGACGCTGTTTTCTTTTGATATCCACCAAATGGCAGTCAATATGCTGTCTTCAGCTGCCCCTCCTTCATGGCCACCCCCCTCCCCGCTGCCCCTCCTCCCACCATCCGGGGCAATGATGCAACGCCTTCTGAGTTTTTCACGCTGTCGCCGCCCATCAAAGCGTTTAACGCTCAACATCAACATGCAAATGAGCCCTTGTGTCTGCCTGTGACTTGATCTCTGCTTCTGGGGGCACGGAGGGTTGGCCAGTTCCAGCCAGCATGCAGCATGCAACATACCACATTTAATGTGGGTCGTTGTCGTCGTCGCTGTTGCAACGTTCTGAGTGATTAAGCGGAAATTAAGTGTGTGTGCGTTGCCTACAGCCTCCCAATTTGACACGTTTACTTTTTTATCCACTGAGTGTGGCTTTTTTTCTTTGTCAGTCAATCAATTGGGTCTGTCAAATTTATAAGACTATGAAGAACAAATGTAAATAAGTACACGCATAATATAAAACATGATAAAGCAAAGTTAGGGACCAGTTAGTAGGCAGGTTAATTAGGTATTCGCATCATTGTAGCTTACAATGGGTGTGTCAAGACGGTGGACCTAAGGGAAGGTAACATATTGTAGTCGACAATCGTTTTCAAGCCAAGGTACTCAGCCTAAGTACTAGGACAAGCTAGTACATACTTAACTGGGACTTAACAAAGCTTCTAAGGGTTCCCTTGTGCTTACCCTTAAGTACTGGCCAGAAGGCTGCGCAGAAGAAAAAGTGACGGAGACTTCCCAGGATCCACTCCATCGATCTAATAAACCGGGTACTTCGATACATATAAGCTAAATCGAAAGCGATTGATTAGGCATCGATGCATGCAACGCAACATGATCGCATTCCAAATCGAACAGGACTTTCAATTTACGTATCGTTAGATATTCAACATCAAGTCCAAGCTGGAGTTGCGCTAATCGAGCATCGATTTCATGTGGGCACTCGCGCTGCATCTTCAAAACGCAGGCATTGCTTTGATTAATGAAGCTATTGAATAATTTTATTTAAATTCGCATATATCCTATACAAAGCGTGGCTAATGGTAAAACGCCGGCAAAGATTGTTGGATGTGAGAAAAACGCCACCTACTTTTTGAGCTCCCCTTCGTCAGTTCGTACTACTTATATACACGATTTCAATAGCTGATGATGAATAGCTGTTGATCGGTCGGTCTGTTGATCAGCCGGGAGAGCCGGGCAACAGGTTGCTGTTGATTTGGCCGGTAGATGGGAACCGCTCGGCAAAACAAATTAATCTTGTTTTGCCACTGACAGTGGATCGTGGTCGCACTTTCTTCTGGTACCCGAGTTTTTCCATTTGCCCTGTAGCATGTTTGATGATGCTCCCGGCTGCCTGGCTGCCCGGCGGGAGCAAGGTGAACGTTGCCTCCAGATGTTTGATTTCAGCCTGATGCTGTTCTCCGCTCGCTGCTGTTGTTGTTGCTGTTGCGCCTACCTTGCGCCTTCTGTTTAATGATCAATTTGTTGGCCTCTGATCGTGCCGACAGCGTTTAGCAGTTGCTTGTGCCACTCGCTGACTCCTCTGCTGCGCGGGTCAGCCTAATGAGTTTCATAAAAGTGGGTGTATTTGGCAGCGGTGCCCCCTTGTCTTCCCGCACCCACTTTGTGCAAATGACGAATGTGTAAATGACGATTGTGGTGGACACAGCATTTTTTGGCCAGACAACGCGACGTCGTCGTCATCAAGTCTGGCCGTGTCGAAATGTGGTTACCAGTTCCTCTGATCGACACACGGCATTTGCGGCCAACCATTGGATTAGCTGCTGGCAGTGAGAGAGCTTCCCTTTCAATTGAAATATAAAATATGCTAATTTGCATACAATGCATTTCCTTGGAAGCCGGCTCGTGACCCACAAACAACTAATGCCTTCAATTAGCCAAACTAAACAGACTGTGCAGAGATCAAGCAAGGGTTAAGGTTTAGGGTTAATCGCATTCGCCTTGCTGCTGATCGGCCAAATATCGGAAAAGCCCTCCCGAGAGGGAGGCGTTGGTTGCGTTAAGCCGCAGCCGCAGCCGCAGCTACAGCTACCTGAGACGCCACCCATCCGCGGGCTTAACTCGTTGCCGGTCCGATCAGCCCAGCCATGGCAAATCGTTTACAAATGTTGATCAATAAAACGCCGGTCGGCAATGCGATTAGCCGGCCGTATAGATGGGCTCGAAATGCTTAGCAAACTTTTGCACAAATATTTGAAAAAGTCAAAAACTCCGCCCGGTTCGGCTCTAAGCTGTACTGACTTTTCCGCTAATCTAGCTATTTGTTTGCATGCTTTAGCTCGGATTTCGTTTTATGGGCTCTGCTCCTGCTCTGAATCCTGGAAACTTCACTGGTGGGCTGCAACTGCCGCTGGCCGGGGGCAGCAACTGCTTTTGC